GCTAGTGTATGCTTCCAGAAATCATGGACTAGTGTTCCACAGGACGCCGCTGTGACAGACACCAGCTTGGCTTTCTTCCTAGTTTTCACTAGAAATTAAGGACTGAGAGTCATGGCTGATACATACAATTAAAGCTACTAGAAATAATAAAGGAAGCAACTCTGTATGCAAATGTACTTTTGGTGAGGAAAGTCACAGGTATGGAGGATAAGGCCGTGTTTCCTCTTAAGGGAAAAAGAAGCAATTAGTTTTGTGCTAAGGTAGAATTACTGGTTCTTCCAGAATGAGAAAAAGAAAAATGCAAGAAGGAAAAAACATGAGTGGATATTAAGAAGAGACCGTAAAGGTTTGTGGAAAAGGAATCTTATCTGCGTAGCTAACGCTGGCTAAGACTGGATGGGTTTACTTATAAAGCTCCATCCAAAATTAGCTTTAGTATTAACAGTACACTGATGCAAAACTAGAATTTGGTACTATGAAAAGTTTTTATCTTTTAAGTAATTGGGCTAGGAAACAACAATTTTGTGTTTTAAGGTAATTTCTTGTGCTTCATATTATCTTCTATTTGGTCTTTGATTACTGAAGAAAAGTGAGTCTTCTCAATATTAAAAGAGCCAAGTTTTGCTCACAACTACATAACCTGCTGTATTTGCCTTTAATTTTATTTTCACTTTCATTAAATAACTAAAGTCATATTTAATTAAGTTCTAAAACTTTTTGATATTTGTTACAACTTCCTAAAATGAAATTCTAAATTAAGTCTTTTTTTTTTTTTTTTTTTTTTTTGAGACAGAGTCTCACTCTTTTGCCTGGGCTAGAGTGCCGTGGCATCAGCCTAGCTCACAGCAACCTCAAACTCCTGGGCTCAAGCAATCCTTCTGTCTCAGCCTCCCAAGTAGCTGGGACTACAGGCATGCGCCACCATGCCCGGCTAATTTTTTTTCTATATAGTTTTAGTTGTCAGATTAATTTCTTTCTATTTTTAGTAGAGACGGGGTCTCGCTCTTGCTCAGGCTGGTCTTGAACTCCTGAGCTCAGGCAATCCGCCCGCCTCGGCCTCCCAGAGTGCTAGGATTACAGGCGTGAGCCACCGCGCCCGGCTAAATTAAGTCTTTTTGACCATGAACTAACTTTGGGAGTTTCCAGAAAGGCTCCTGGGACATCTCAAAAGAACTTGTCTCCCACCTTATAAAAAAGAGATGTTAAATTAATCAGGCTTAATTTGATACGTTAAATTACATGGGAAGCATTTTCAAACAGTAAGTAATGCTAAATCTTCTTGCGGTTATATTTACGGGTGTTATTGATGAGTGTTGCAGAAATTGTGCAAAATTCCCAGAAATCTACTATGTTATCCTATGATATATATCCTATCTGACATTATTCCTAGAAATCTGGTATAATGTTATCACTCATAATTTTGGCTATGTTAAAATGTGCCACAGAAACGACCACATTTCCTTGTGGATGGCATCGTTGATATAATGAAGGTTCATCAGATCCTTAACCACGGTCATCTTAACTCCTTTGCAATTTAGTTGCTGTTTTACTTTGATTCTTTCATCAAAGTGTGTGCAATCGGCTACAGCCCCAAATTGTTTCTTCTTCAAGGAGACCCATGGAAAAGTGGGACAGGCATTTGGAATGCAGGCTTCTGATAGCTTTGACATCACACCGTCAGACCAGGCGAGGACTTCCAGAACCCTGATGAAGAACCTGACGGGTTCCGAGGCCAATCAGAACAAGATTTAATTACATGGGAATGAAGGAATTGATGAGGATAATTTTTTTATGACTTTTTGTTTGAAACATTACTAGTTCTTTACTGCTTTGTTTTTCAGATCTAAGGAAATGCTCTCTTTTTCTTAAACTATCTATAGCTTACAGCAATGTGGTAAAGGATATCTTTGTAAACAAGGTGAAGTATTTTTTTCTTTCTACCTAATCCCTCCAGAATTCAGAAACTATCGGTATTCTTATTTTTATGGCAATGTATAGTTATTTGCATGAGTTCAGGAAGAACCTGTTCTTGAAATGACACAGTTGGAAAACACTGGGTTTATTACCAAGGCTTTGACTGGAATGTCATTATTTTCAGATATGACCAAATAACTTTAAGGAGCCAATAAAGCCCCCTGGAAAAAAATTGGCCTCTATCTCATCCATGGTTCCCTCACATGGCTGTGTTACAGATGGGTAAGGAATGCCAATTCCTGGCATGCCCAGAAATCTTAAGATACTCCAGGGACTTCAAGAAGAGAGGAATTCACCCAAATCTATAGGTACTGCAGAGAAAGGCTTTGGCTTGGTTTCCTGGCCCCAAGAGGCTTTTAAAAGTCCACTCTCAGATTCCTCATCAAAGGTTCCAGCACAGCAAACTTAAAAAGAGCCAACGTGGTTAATCGCTATTCTTGCTGCACTTTTGTGAATAGTTATGACAACTATAGTATGTGTTGACTGTAGACAGAAAGATTGTTTCAGAAGCAAACTGTGGTGCACCTGTTGTTATAATAGATTCTGGCCCTGTTCAGTGTTTTTGAGGTCTGTTTTCTACCTGTAATACGGACTGGGTCCTGAATCCTCCAATACCTGGCTACAACTCTCCAAACTAGTATTTCCGATTTCTCTCCCACCCTTCTGGCTCGGGACTGATCACTAAAGATTAAAACTGCCCTTTTCCTGAAGCCCTGCAAGCTGAAGCCAGGCCCCTTGACACGGACTTCAGAGACCACCCGACTCGTGTGTAGACCACCTCCATGACATGCGAACTGCAAATCAGAAAAATCTGTCCGCTTGCCACTGCCTGCCCTCCCTCTGAAGATGCTTCAAGCCCAACATCTAGAATCTCAACCGGCTGCCCTCTGGAGTAAAAAACTGAGTTTACAGTTTGTTCTAATCATTAGCCTTTTTGTTTGCACAGAAATGCCTCTTAGTAAACACCGGACTGGGCACCCACACACAGGCCTGCCTGTGGTGGAATCCCGCCTGCAACTCCGCCTCCTGAACTAGGACAACCGCTCGCCGCGTAACTGGACTGGCCTCCTTCCCGGTGCGGGAGGCCGGGTCAGCGTGCCGTGGGACAATCCACCAACACAGCGTCTGGGCCGCGCTGCTTCCTGGGGACGGTCCAGACAGGGGAATGGCGTGACGCAGGAGACACAGTAGTTTGGAAATTGAGAAGGCGGAAGCGGGAAGCCACTCCCAACCTCCCCCCACTCTTCTTCCCTGAAGCAGGCCCAGGAGGGGTGCGCTCTGACCTCCTCCCTCCCGACCCCCTGAAGACCCTCACGTGGCAGGTGTCCTGCTCTACACCCAGAGGGAAGGAAGGTCCACAGGGTGACCAACGAGAATCTGCACACTCAGGCGCTGCTAAGTTCCCCGGTTTATTGCCATTAGGTTACACTGTCTTCCAACCGTACCTCTGCACGATGTTCCATGAAATGCAGAGATTTCCCGTTTCTTCGGACCTTCATTCCGAAGGCTCCCACGTCACATAAAACTCGTATTAAATAAATACGTGGCTTTTCTTTTGCTAATCTTTCCTGTTATAAGGGTCCCAGCCATGAAGCATCTGACCAGGTAAGGAAAAGGTAACACTGTTTCTCCCTACAGACAGCTGCATGCAGACACAGCTCCCAGGACTGCTGCCTCCAGGCCAAGGGCACTGCCAGGGAGGGAGCTCCTCTAGCTGAGGCCTGCCCTGGCCGGGGCAGAGGACGCAGGCCCTCTTCAGACACCAGCTCTGGACAGCGCCAGGCCCTGGCCCAACACTGCACTGCCCATCCCCAGCTGCCCCCAGAGCCAGTACTGCCCCTCCTGCCAGGGGGCTCCATCCTCGGTCCTGACCCAAAGCCCTGAGCTCAGCAGGGATGAGGGCCAAGCCCTCCCCTGGCCATGCACGGTGGGGACCTGAGCTTCAGCTGGGCTCTCCCTTCAATACCAGCCCCCACCCACCCCCCAACCTCTGAGTGGGGCTCAGGCTACCCTTTGGATACTCCCCATCGTGGGACCATCCGAACTGGGAAAGAGCCCTCCGCGTCCCAGCCTCAGCACTGACAACCCGGCTGGGGCGCCTGGGTGAAGTTGACCCCTCCCTGAGGGCAGGCAGGAGGGAGGCTGGGCCGTCAGTGGCCACAAGCCACACAGATGCCTTCCAATAACTCGTGCAGCTATTTATAGCACCGTGGGGGTGGGGCAGCAGGCCAGGACGGCCCTCCGCTCACTGTCCCTGGCCTCCCACCAAGCCTTCATCCACCTGACTTCAGCCCCCTAAGATGCCCCCCAACAGACCCGAGTCAATGCCTGCTGGCCACTCGAGGTGCGGACGCAGCCAGCTGACCGCTCACCTTGGTTAAGGACGCGCATCCCAAGAGCTAATAACCCCTGCGGGGCCCCTACCCCTGTGGCCCTGTGCCAATGCATGGCCCGCTCGCCCCAGGTTCTCAGTGCTCCCGGCAGGTGTCCACCTCTGACCTATAAGCTGGGCTACCTGTGGCAGGAGGCCCCCAGCCTCAGCCTGTTTTGGGTGCTCCCAGGGTGGGAGGCAATTACAGGAGGCCCCTGGGAGAGACAGCCCCGTGAAACTGCCCCATGACAGCTGGGAGGGACGGTCGCCTCAAGGGGCACCAGGTCCTTGCTGTTGAGGACTCCCAAACCCGAGGCCAGAGGCCCAGGCTCCCCTGGCAGCCCCACATGGTGGCCACGGGGCAGGGCCCGAGTCACTCCGAGCACCAGCCTCCCTGTCGGAAGGTGGGCATGGGGGGCCCGTCCTGAGTGGCTGTCCTGGCGTCTTCTGTCCAGCTCCAGGACTGCCTGCTGATCCCGGCTCCAGGAGCAGCAAGGCACCCCGCCCTTCCTGGGCCAGGCCTCAGAGGAGGCCCTGTGGTGAGCAAGGTCGGCTGCAGAGCCGGCCCCTGGCCAGGGAGGGAGGAGGTCACAGGGGTTCACCAACTGCTCAAACAGACCCTGGGGCCACACAATTCACCACACACTGCCAGGGCTGCTGACTGCTTAGGGTTTATTTTCCACTTGGTGCGAGGCAAGGAGTTAGGGTGCCAGGAAGCTCGTGTATGCTGGGACAGCAGAGAGCAGGGCTTGCCGACTTCCGGCTGGTGTCTGCGGTGTTGCCACCAAAGAACCCAACTTCCTTCCTGCTCAGGCAGCCTGGTCTAGGGCGGGCAGGGCCCTGCAGCCCAGCCCCGGCTGGGGGCGGCGATCAGGGCGGGGGCCCAGCTGTGCCAGGTGGGCTGCAGGGCTGCGTCCTCCCGGCTGCTGGGGCCAGGCCGCAGGTGGTCGCGCTCCTGGAGGCCTGGGGGGCTTCCGAGCTGGGGGAGAGCATGGGTCAGAGGCTGCTTGACACCCGCCCCCCACCCCCAGGAAGGGGGACTCACTGCTCCGGGGACTCCACGACCGTGGTCATGAACGGGAGAGTGGACTTCCCGAAAAAGAAGCTCGCCCACCAGTGACCTGGGTCGGCCTTGGGCAGACCTGGGAGAAGCAAGGGGGTCACAACGCGGCCCGCTCCGGAGGACGCTCCCGAGGTCGCGGGGCGCGAGGGCGGGCGCACTCACCCGGGGGGTGGGGGATGGCTTCCCCGGGGCCCTCGGCGCTCCCGCACGAGCTGCTGCTGGAAGCGGAGCCCAGGCGGCCTGGAGCGGAGAGGCCGGGTGAGCGGCGCGGAGCCGCCGCCCCGGCCCGGAGGCAGCGCTGGGGCCCGCGCGGGGTCTACTTACGCCGGTAGTAGTCGTGGGTGGCCACGAGCGAGCCGCCGGAGGGGATGGCCGCCATGGTCCGGCCGGGCTGGGGGGCAGCTGCGCGCGGCAGGGGAGCCGCGGTCAGCGCCGCGCTCGGGAAGGGCGCCCCGCGGGTCCGCAGCGAGCCAGGCGGGGCTCGGGCGTGGGGCGCGGGCGGCTCCAACCGGCCCGAACCGGCCGCGCAGGCGGAACAAAGGCGCTTTGTGCGCGGGGTCCGGCCGGCCCAGAGCACCCGGCCGGGGAGCGCGCCCCGGGCCCCGCGCCCCAGCCCGAGAGGAGCCCCGGGCCCGCGTCCCCGCCCCCGTTCCCGCTCATCCCACGCACCCGCCCTCGGCTGCGGCCCTCACCTCGGCGGCGGCCCTTCGCGGGCCTCGGCGCGCGGTCACGGGTGGCGGGGACGGGGGCGCTAGGCCACGGAGCCCATTTGCAAAGGAGACCCCAGGAGCCGCTCTTCGACCCAGACGCGCGCGCGCGCGGGGTGCGCACGCGCCGACGTGCCCCCTTATATGCGCGGGGGCCACGGCGGGTCACGGGGGCGGGGCGCCACGGTCCCGCCCCGCCCGGTTAGGCCCCGCCCCCCACCTCGGCCTGGCTCCCGCGTCCGCACCCGCCCGGCCGGGTTTGTTAGCCTGGGGCGGTCCGGGAAGCGCGTCGCGGCCTGGCCTGGGCTCCGAGTGGTTAAAGAGCCCCCCGCCCGGGCCCTAGGGCTGGGCTGTGCCTCCTCCCCCGGCCCAGGTGCCCCTCTCGGTCCGGCCCAGCCTGGCCAGCCCGTCTGGCGCTCTCTGGCCGTCCGCCCCGCGCTGAGCCTCGCAGCCCCGCAGTGTCCCCTCTGCGGTCCTGGCTCCGGAGGGGCCTGCCCCACTCTCACCCCACAGGACGGGGGCTTCGGCTCGTGCGCCCTCCATCCCGACAAGGGCCCCCGCGGCGTCCCCCTGCCCCCAGCTGTGGGCACCAGGCGGTGCCCGGAGGTGCATGTGCCTGGAGCCCTCCAGCCCGGCCTTCCAGGTCTTCACAGCCCTGGGAAGCTGGGCACCCCGCCCGCGCCCCACTGGGGCTCTGCTGGCTCTGCGACCTTCGGCGCGGTCCTTAGCCCCATCTGGCATCCTGCCGGGGCTGGCGGGGACTGGAAGGTGGGCCAGGCGCAGAGGGAGGCTTATTTGAGTGGTTCGGGTCAGGAGCTGCTGTTTGAGGACAAGTCTCCAGTCGCTGGAGGCAGAGGCTGGGCCCTACTGCTCAGGGGCCCCCTGTTGGGGGGACCCCAGAATGTCTCTGGCAGGTGCCTGGGGCCTTGGGATGGCCCGCCACACCCTCGCTTGTCAACCAGGAGGAGGGGCCTGGCTTCCTTCCCAGGCAGAAATCAGCCTCCCTCTTCCTGCTGGAAACTTCCTGCTGCCTCCCTCTGCCCCAGAGAGGAAGTTTCCAGCTGAGCTCGGTTTCTTTACCACCCGGTCCTGGCTGGGTGGTGACTTCCCCCTGGGTGAGAGGGTCTGGGGAGGTCCCTGGGGACAGGTAGACTGCAGGGCTTCTCTAGTCAGCCCTGGTGGGTTTGACACCTGACGGGGTTTGCTGTTCCCAGCTGGCAGGGACGGCTGTGTGCTGGCTCCGTGCTGGGTGATGTTTGGGAGACTGGGGGGGACGGTGCCTTCGTGGGTGCAGGTGGCTCAGCTAGGCGCAGGGAATGGTGGGTGAACCACACAAGGGCTGCTTTCCAGTGGAGGGGCCAGTCCGGCGGCTGGACGGGAGAAGGGGCGTCGGGTTCAAGCTGCAGTCTAAGGAAGGAGCCTGGGGGAGGGCCTGGGTGGGCACCCTGGGACACGGTGCCCGGTGCTGTGGGCAGCAGTCCAGGGCCAATGGGCCTGGGCCAGGACCTGTGGTGGGAGAGGTGCGCAGGGCCACTGAGGAGGCAGGTGGGTCGGCCCAGTTAACACCGGGAGGGTGGAACTTTCTGGCAAGACCCAGGCCTGCCTCGTGGCTGCTTGAGCCACAGGCTCTGAGAGACCGAAGCCCAGGGCTTGGCCCTCCGCAGGGCTCCTGTGTTTGTGTGGCCTCAGGGCTCAGACGGACTGTGGCCAGCGCCAGGACCTGGCAGCAACGGCCAGCACAACAGCCTTGGGAGAAGACCTTGGCCGACTTCTAGAGCCCAGCAAGTGGGGTTAGGGCTTGGGGCCCAGGCCACCCTGTCTCAGAGGCAGGGAGGTGCCCAGCCAAATCCTGGGCATGGTGGTTACTCGGGCAGGGGCACAGCTGGCTGGGGCGAGGGCAGGACGGAGAGTAGGGGGTGTGGGAGGTCTGCTGCCCAGGTGCCCCGCAGCAGACCCGTCCCGTGGGGGCTCTGAGCAGAAACAGCTGGGCCTGGGGGGTTGCCCTGAAGAAGGGGGCTGGCTTAGGTATTCATGGGGACGGCAAGCATGCCTGGGCTTCTGCTGGGAGGAGCTGGGGGCTGGACACTGGCTCTGGCCTTGTTGTTGTTGCTTCTGGGCTGGGACCCATCTCCCCATTCATTCGGTAGGTTCCACTGTGTGCCAGGCATAGTGTGCGGAGCTGGGTGGGCTGGGTAGGCCCAGCTCAGGACCCGGAGGCTGAGTAAATGCAGTCTCAGCACCGGAGCAGGAAGGTGTTCCTAGTGGCGGGACCAGCATGTGCAAAGGCCCTGGGCCTGGCTGTGAGTGTGGGACGTGGGGGAGCGGAGAGTGAGAGGTTGACCCCAGTGCCTCATGGCCTGGGCTGTCCTGCCCTGGGGCTGTGGCAGTACCTTCTTCCCCGAGGGGCACAAACGGGGCTGGCCCTGGGATGGTTCCCAGCAGGCCTGAGGCTCTGCCCCTCCCTCAGGCCTCCCTGGCTGGCTCAGGCCCGGACAGCTGGGGGAGAGGAGAGGGGGAGAGGAGAAGGGGAGAAGGGAAGAGGGGCCAGGCAGAGCCCTGTGACTCCCCACTTTATGTGGGGTCCTGAGATCCCTCTCCAGACCTCAAAAAGCCACGGAGCCCACACGCCTGACACAGAGCCCCACCCTCAGGAGGGAGAAGTCTCGGCCATCACAGAAGGGAGCTCGGGGCTGCCCAGGGCACTTCTGAGGCTGAGGGGATGCTCTGGACTCCTCTCTGGCTTAGAGCTGCAGCGTCCTAGGATGGGCGTGGGGGACCCGCTGTGTCTCCTTCTGTACTCAAGAGCCCGTCACTGCGGCCAGGTGGCAGCCATTAGGTGCTATTAGGTTAGATTTGATTAGGTTGGGTTCTGTTCGCTGGGTACAGATGCACGCTGGGCAGAGCCCACGTTGTCCTACGAGGCCGAGGGCAAGGCCAGCCACACCCCTGGGGTCAGCCTGTGGCAGGCCGGTCCGGGACCCTGCAGGGAGCCGGGTGCTTGGCCGGTGTGGAAGCGGAAGGTTCTGGGGCAGATGCTGAGATGCAGCTCGGGGTGCAGAATGTGTGTTGGACTCGGAACCTGGGAAGGCAGCGACCAGCCGGCACCACCTTTGTGCCGCGCTCAGACTGACGCAGCTGCCGGGGGGCGGGGGGGCTGTCTGCTGCCCCCGATGGGCAGCAAGGCCTTCCGCGGTGTCCCCAGGGCCCTCAGGGCCGGCCTGGCCCAGGTCATTCTCAATCTCACCAACAACATCAGTATCAGAAACTCACGAAGTAAAAGCTGCATTTCCTGAGTCGGGAATAGACGGTGATCCGGGTGCACCCTGGTCTGAGAGAGGAGGGCTGCGGGGCCTCTGTCCCCACCTGGACAGCCCAGCCTCGGCGAAGACGCTCCGAGACGCAGGGCCGGGTCGTTGTCCTGCCGAGCAGCCACTGACCAGTCCCGGGTGGTGCTGGTGCTGGGAGAACCCAGGCTGGGCCCACAGACCCTTCTCTCGGCCGCCAGCAGCTGGCTCGCTTCCCGGTGGCGGTGTCCACGGACATTCCGGGCGTGGCAGGGAGTGTCAGCCCCGCTCCGCCGCTGGCTCCGAGCGTCCAGCAGCCCACCGGGCCGGTTTGGAGGGTTGTCGGGGCCGCAGGGGCTGTGGGCTGGGAAGCAGGAGCAGGAGAGACACTGCGCCTGAGTGTCCAGCTTCAGGGAAACGGGGACAGAGAAGCCAACGGGACGGGAGGCTCGTCACCCGCAAGCTGTGAGGCTGAGGCTGGACCCGGAGGGCTTCTGCAGGGAGGGAGGGAAAGTCTCTGCCTCCCCCGTAGGTGGGGGTGTGGGGGTCTCAGTGGGCGTGGTGCCCGTGTGGGGTGCACAGCTGTCTCCGTGACTGGGGTGCCGTCGCCCCCGTGCTGTGCTGTCCAGGTGTTTGGGGGCGCGGCGAGGGTTCTGCCACCGCGCTGCCCAGCGCCTGGCAACCACTCGCCTGCGTCCCGCCCTGTGGGTCTGCTGCTCTGCACGGTTCGTATCGATGGACTCAAACACTGTCCGGCCTTGTGTTGGCCTCTGTCACTCACAGTGTTTCCAAGGTTCATCCGCGTTGTCACACGTGTCCGAAATTCATTTCTTTTTATGGCCGAATGATATTCCGCTGCATGGACGCGCGGCATTTTGTTTATCCACTCACCCTGCGATGGACATCGAGTCGTTCTGCCTTTGGGATACTGTGAATGGTGCTCTTGTGAACGTTCCACGTACGAGTTTTTGTTTGAACACCCGTCTTCGCCTCTTCCGCATCTGTACCTGGGAGTGGCATTGTCAGGGCACACAGTGGTTCTGTGTTTCACCTACTGAGAAACTGCCAGGCTGTCTTCCGCAGTGGCCGCACCACCGTATGTTCCCACCGGCAATGTAAGAGGCTCCAGTTTCTCCACGTTTTGCCAACACTTGTTATTTTCCGTATTTCTGATTATAGCCACTTTCGATAGGGCGACAGGGTATCTCATTGTGGGTTTGATGTGCCCTTTCCCAGTGACCGATGATGTTGAGCATCTTTCTATGCTTATTGGCCATTTGTGTGTCTTCTTTGGAGAAATGTTTCTTCAGACCCGTTGCTCATCTCTGAGTTGGGTTGTTTGTCTTTTTATTTTTGAGTTGTAAGAATTCTTTATGTGTTCTAAATACCAGACCCCTAGATGATATGATTTGCAAATATTTTCTGCCATTCTGTGGGTTGTATTTTCATTTTCTTGAGTGTCCTTTGGTGCACAAAAATTTTTAATTTTGATAAAGTCCACTTTATATACCTTTTCTTTTTCTTTTTCTTTTTTTTGAGACAGAGTGTCTCACTGTGTTGCCCAGGCTAAACTGCCATGGTATCAGCCTAGCTCACAGCAACCTCAAACTCCTGGGCTCAAGCGATCCTCCTGCCTCAGCCTCCCGAGTAGCTGGGACTACAGGCATGCACCACCATGCCTGGCTAATTTTTTCTATATATATATATTTTTAGGTGTCCTATTAATTTCTTTCTAATTTTTAGTAGAGACGGGGTCTCGCTCTTGCTCAGGCTGGTTTCGAACTCCTGAGCTCAAACAATCTGCCCGCCTTGGCCTCCCAGAGAGCTAGGATTACAG